TGACACGGGGACATCGGGATGGGGACAGGATGGGGACAGGGACACGGGACAGGATGGGGACAGGATGGGGACAGGGACACGGGGATGGGGATGGGGATGGGGACAGGGACATTGGGATGGGGACACGCTGACGGGATCGGGGTTCCGAGTGGCTGAGTGACACGGGAACAACGGAATGGGGACAGGATGAGGACAGGGACACAGGGATGGCGGCACCGGGATGGGGACAGGGACACCGGGACGGGGATGGGGACACCGGGACAGGGACACGCTGACGGGATCGGGGTTCCGAGTGGGTGAGTGACACGGGGACAACGGGATGGGGACAGGATGGGGACAGGGACACGGGGATGGGGATGGGGACAGGGACATTGGGATGGGGACACGCTGACGGGATCGGGGTTCCTAGTGGGTGAGTGACACGGGAACAACGGAATCGGCACAGGATGGGGACAGGGACACGGGACAGGGATGGGGACAGGGACACCGGGACAGGGATGGGGACACCGGGACAGGGACACGCTGACGGGATCGGGGTTCCGAGTGGGTGAGTGACACGGGGACATCGGGATGGGGACATCGGGATGGGGACACGGGACAGGGATGGGGACACGCTGACGGGATCGGGGTTCCGAGTGGGTGAGTGACACGGGACACGGGGACACCGGGATGGGGACCGGGACACGGGGATGGGGATGGGGACAGGGACATTGGGATGGGGACATCGGTACGGGGATGGGGACACTGGGATGGGGACACCGGGAGGGGGACGGGGACACTGGGATGGGGACAACGGGATGGGGACATCGGGAGCGGATTGGGGTTCCGAGTGGGTGAGTGACACGGGGACATCGGGACGGGGACACCGGGATGGGGACAGGGACACCGGGACGGGGATGGGGACACCGGGACAGGGACACGCTGATGGGATCGGGGTTCCGAGTGCGTGAGTGGCACGGGGACATCGGTACGGGGATGGGGACATTGGGATGGGGACACCGGGAGGGGGACGGGGACACTGGGATGAGGACAACGGGATGGGGACATCGGGAGCGGATTGGGGTTCCGAGTGGGTGAGTGACACGGGGACAACGGGATGGGGACAGGGACACGGGGATGGGGACACGGGGACATGGGGACGGGGACAGGGACACCGGGATGGGGATGGAAGGATGGGGACAGGGACACCGGGACAGGGACACCCTGACGGGATCGGTGTTCCGCGTGGGTGAGTGACTCGGGGACACCGGGACAGGGATGGGGACACCGGGATGGGGACACGGGACAGGATGGGGACAGGGACACGCTGACGGGATCGG